TTAACATACATTTTCTTCTCTTTCAACACCGAAATTCAAATCACGACATTCAACATATCCTTTTTCTAACATCTGACTAAATCAAAATGCCCTCAATAACCACCGCAACGAACTGATCCAATTATTCAAAATAACTTCACTGAGTTTCAAAAGTTGTCCTCTAATTATCTTCATCCCATTCTAAAAGTAACTCAACCTCAATTTGATCATACTGAAGACACATTCTCCTACCAGTTAATCCATCAAATTGTCAATCATTTGAAGTGGATGTGTAACCTTAACCACTACTTTAATCATTTATCAGTAATTCGCATACAATTTCATACTACTTTCTTTCTCCTTAACCAATGACATCAAAGCTCCTAAAATGATACACTCGGTTTTACAAATCTATTTATCTGCACATCTTCTAATAACTTCTCTAGTTCTCCCAACTTCGAACTGAAATCATGCATGGTGCCATAGGAACAAGTCTCGTACCAAGAACAAGATCAACAGTAAACTCCGCCTCTCATCCAACCACTTCACGTGACAAATAAATTACTTCCAGGTGCTGGAACTATTTTTAAAACAAATTTCATCACATTAGCTTTCTAGCGCTTCAAACAGAACTCGAATCGGGCATCCAGAACTCAAGTTATGAATTTTTGAAGTTTTTACAAAAATACTGTCCAATACTGTGCAATCGGTTGCACCAGAACAACAATCGATTACACCATGTACAGAAGCCGTTTTCCACAAGTTTTTAATTATGCAATCAATTTCACTCTAATGCCAATCAATTTCTTATTGTACATAAGTCTTTTTTCATTATTTTCTGTCTACAAAACCCATTCTAACACAATTCCAAAACCCCATTCTTCTTATACCTCGAGAGACACATTAATTTGCTAAAAATTCCATTTTCCAAAACACCAAGGCTCTATTCCTCTCCATAAATCTACTCATATCTTCGAGTTTTGAATTAGAGTCATGATTCACAAACACCCCAACAACATCAATGACATTCCACAATCACTTACATGATTCCAACAACAAGATTTACAAAAAAATTCATCACTCTTGCATTACTCTGAACAACGACAGTACACACAATGGTAACTCAGCACTGACAACTTCACGATCAACCGACAGTGCTGAAACATTGCAACCATCTGAGCTCATCTTATAGGAGTTCTCCTACTTGCTTAACCAATATGTTCCGACATGAAAATATGCATCGACTCATTAAAATAATTCGTAGTCCCTTGGTTTACCTCCAACCACTCTGCCCCAAGGATAATCAAGTTAATCAAATATCCCACTGTAACTACAAGTCGTACTTGTCTCTGAGAACACATCAAGATTCACCCACAACTGGAACATTATTAAACACAACATCGCCATCCACTTCTAGAGATGCAAATAACACAAGTACCTGATTATTCCCTCTCAAGGAAACTTCGAAGGACCGCTAGATATAAATCATGAATTCGTTACTTCCTTCGAAATCAAAAAAATAACACAGTCTCACCAACATTTGCACTTATGAAAACCACGGCACACCGAATAAACTGTTCACGCCTGGACCATCTCAGATAAGCACTAGCTTCTCCCCCACTTTTTCCAATCCCACTCCTGCAACCAAGTGATTAGAAAAACAAGAAAGCACCGATAATGTTCCATACACATGTCGCGTACTAAGGAACAACACGTTGGCAATATTCAACTGTCACACTACACTGACTCAAAAATTTGGCCAGATGGACCGACCTGCTCTGATACCAATTGTAACACCCTATTTCCCGGTCGGTAATTTTTAATCAAAAATCAGAGCAAATTAATTTCTAAAATAAATATCAATAAATAGGATGTCACGTCGTCATACATCATACATGCTCAATAAACATGATACGTAACACAAAATCATAAACTTCAAAGTCTTAACTTCATTGCATTTATTCGCAACAGAAAACATCAATAAATAATTATTCTCAACCCTCAATATGAGTGGTATTTTTCATCATCCAAAAATTAGCATAATCATCAGGTAAATTCAAAACAACAGAGTTATATAAATTTTACTCCCAACATAATAAGACAAACGAGAAAACCCAAAGTGTTACATATCAGAGCAGACACCGACTCAATCTACGCAACTGAGGTAACTCTTCAGCTAACCTCGACCTCGAGCTGCTTCGAATCATCTGCACGTTATCCACGTAGAGGCAACCTTCAAATAGAAAGTGTGAGATATCAAAACAATATAAGAGAAAGCATAATAATAACTAGATAGCAATTCAAGTACACATAATTAACTTCTTTACCTCACACCTTTACTTCGTTCATCATGCTACGAGATATATCATTATTTACTCAAGTACACAGTCAACACATAACATCCATCTTAATATAATACATACTTTCATCAATATTCAACCATCAAATTATCAATCAAAATGTAATACAAAGAGACCGACACTGACTCAATGCATGTGGTACAAAAAAGGGAGACACTGAATGCATTCGACACTGATATACAATAACATAATTTACATTGATTATTCTTAATCATCAATGCCACACAAATACAGGCCATCATCATCATTATCATGCATATCACATCACAAAATCAAAACATCCATGCAACATCATCGTACTCAATCACAATAACAATCTCACCGATTCCATCATCATATTCACAACTTCATATTACATAAAAATACCGAAATAATACAAGAATCCATGAAATCATCTCATACTGTTTTCAAATTATTTTTATTAGATAGAAAATATTTTTAGCTTTCCATGGGTTCGAATGGCGCATCAAGCGAACACCCGAGTCAAAGTTATAAAGTTTTCAAGTTTCAAAATGTTGTCAAAGAGTGAGCGATCGATTGCTCGAGCAATCGATTGCACCCTGTTCCAGAGGCCAAAAATCACATTTTTAAGCAGTGCAATCGATTTCTCTTTTGCTGCCATCGATTTCTCTTCTGCTACAGTCGACTGCTTATTGAAGCAGAAGCAAAAATCCTAATTTTTAAGTAGTGCAATCGATTGCTCTTCTGCTGCAATCGATTGCATCCTGTGAAAAACATTTTTACAAATTATGTAAAGTGCAGTACGAAAACCCTTTGTCTTAATTCCAAAAATACAAACTTCATGAAAAATGCCCAATCAAACCCCAAATTACCATCCCCATCATCATACATCGATTATGACACATATCAAATATCAATTATACACACAGTGCATCAAAATCAATCATCAAAGGGTAAAACCCCAAAACAATCAAATAGGGAGAAATCAAAAGCATACAATCATGGAACCTAAACACTACCATACCCCATCATTAGGCAAACCCTTATAGAGTTAGAATCCTCCCTTATCTTAGATTGGTGACAGTTCTTGATTCCTATGGTGAAACTTCTTTCCCTAGCCTCCTAGTGCTCTTTTTCCTCTTCTCACTTCTACGCTTCTTCTCTATGCCTTATGTTTTCACTTTTGTTTTTCTAACCACACACTTTAGACCCCTAAATTTATATTCCTATCTTGTCTTTCTTATTTTTAATTAATTAATCATTAATATTATAAATAAGTTTATATCTATAATAATAATAGTAATAATAATTAATTCCAATAATGCTCATATTCTCTATTTACCTCGTGTTCTCTACGCTTTTAGTCATACACCCCAACATCTCAATCTCTCATTCTAAGGCATCTAGTCCCCAACAAAGATATCATATCACATAATCTAGTATTTCAACACCAGCAAACACATAATAAAATCTATCAACTTATGAAAATACACCGCATCATCTAATTATTATAAAAAAATAATTCTAATTAAATTGGGGTGTTACAACCATATCATCCTCAAATACCGACTTGTGATCGCCTTATTTTTTCTGTTGATGCAGTTTGCCCTATTTGCATCAAGGCATGTTTGGATATTTTTGGAGAACACGCCATTCATTGTAAGGAGCTTCTAGGGATCAAATACTGACATGACTTTTTAGGGATATCTTATTTGATATATTTAGGTGTGCTGGGGTATGTCCGAAGAAAGATGCATCTGTGAATTTCTTGACTAACCCACACGAGGGAATATCAACACATATGCCAATAAATGTTCTGGTATACAGGTGAGTGAGGGAAATATGTATATGTAGACTTAATTGGGGTTTTTCCAATAGTGGGATTGAGAATCGAAGATTTTATCGTGTGGCAGACTGTTCTCAAAACCGCTTCAACTAATGTGGCCAGGCATGAAAAAACATGTTCTGACAATCAACATATTTTCATATCATTTGCATTTGATACTTTTAATTGCCTAACATGAGAGACAATTGATTTTTTTTCAAAAAATATAAAGATTTATGCATAGCAATGTTGTGTCTCTTAGAACAATAGATATAATTTTTAAGAAAATTAATTTTACTAATAATGACGCAGCTTGATGCTTGTTTACTTTTTTTTTTTTTTTTATCTTGTATATCAATTTTGCTATTTAAAAAAAAATATTGTTTAATAAAAAACAAAAATGATGAAGTAAAAAAAGGATAATATGATCCGATGGAGCTTCACAACTAAGCCATACCTGGTTTTCACTTTTCACATAAAAAGTGGTTTTTCTCATTAAACAAAATACACTTTCTCTTTCTCTCTCTCAAGTGGTTTTTCAGGAGAGATATAGAGAGAGAAACTTGAAGAGGAGGATATCCTAGGAGAACCGCTTTATCTATATCTATATTAATATTATATTAACATTTTTGTAATAGTCAAAAAGATGAGAGAGAAATTTAAGGAAGAAAAAAATGAAAAAGAAAAACATTTTTGTCTTTTATTTTCATTGCATTGAATTCTAATTTCTCTCTTTAATATCTCACTCTCTTTTCTCTAATACTTCAAATAAGTTCATAACCGACCCTTGTTAAGATAAAGCTTCTTTTCTTTTTTTCTTTGACAAATGGAAATATGATTTTAAGGAAAAAAGACATAAACAAGTTTTAATATTTATGGGTTTTTCTTTGGCTTTTGAAGAAACAGAACAAGATACAAGGTTTTTAGGTTCCAACAATAACAAAAATTCTATGATCATGGCTTCTTCTAATGTTGTTAAGAGCACAACAAATTCATCAACAACTCATCTTGAATCAATCTCTCAACAACAACAAAACCATCATCATCATCTTCATCTTCATCATCATCAGCATCAACAGCAGCATCAACAGCAGCATCATCAGCAACAGCATCATCATCAGCAGCATCAGCAACAACATCAGCATATGAATGATGATAATCAAATTTCTTTTGGAATGATGCCATCTTCATCTTCATCCTCTATTCCTAACAACTACTTGTGAGATTTTTTTTTGTTTTTTTTTTCTAATTTTTATTTTTTATTATATTATTATAAAATAATAATAAGAGTCATAATCAGAGTTGTTTACTTTCTTTAAAGCTGTTGAATAACTGATCCCAATAATATAATACCAGTTTCTCATGAGAACAAATAGCCAATTTTTATTACATTATTTATTATAAATTTTCATTTTTATTTTTCATGTTTTTTTTTTGTTTTTTTTTATTTGATCAGAAGCAAAGATTCAAGTGCTTTTGATTTAGGTGAATTGGATCAAGCTTTTTTCTTGTATCTGGATGGACAATCACAACAATCACAAGCTGATCCTTCTACTCTTCAAGATCAAAGACGTGAGCACACACTCTCTCCTCTTTCTCTCTCTTTTTATATTTGTGTTTATAGTTTTAATTTTTGGTCAAATTGAGAAAGATGAACATGCACTTCCTTGCATGATTTTCAAGATTCTCTGAGGGTTTGTTTTGTTCACAGCATCTACATGTTTTTGCAGATTCATATCTTTACTTCCGTATTCTAGTACTTTTTCTTTGACTGGATCTTTCTCTCTCTCTCTCTCTCAATATTTCTCTCTCTATATTTTAATTTTATTTGTATTTTCTTCAATTTTTTCTTAGAGATATTGACATGTAACAAACCTTTGTGTCATGATCTCCTTGCAAAAGTCCATGAGTTTCTCTTTTTATTCCTTTTTTTTCATAAACCCTCTTGTTTTCTGTAACTATATATTTGTCCTTTTTCTCATAAGTTTTTCATTTACCTTAATTAATAATAAAACTTATTTGAAAAAAAAAACTTTTTTATTGTATTAATGTATATGTTTCAACAGAAAATTCATCATCATCAGGAATGCGGCCACCACCAACTCTTAACATTTTCCCATCTCAACCAATGCATGTATCACCACCACCACCACCCTCTAATTCAAAGGTATATAACTAATCAACTAACTATTATATATTATATGATATGATATATAATGTAACATTGAGTTGACAATCTTATATTTTGGTTTAGTATTAATAATCTAATATATAGTTGAATATTGACATTATTAAATATATTTTATTGTGTTATTTTATATTTGGTGTATAGGCTAGTATGGGATTAACTTCTCCACAAACAAGTGGTTCCAAAAAAATATCTCAACCGTCCATGGAGTTGGCAAACCAACGAAACGAAACCCTTTCTGCACCTGCACCACCAAAACCTGTCAAGGTAGGTAGTAGTATGTTATTTTATAATAATATATTTTTATATGTAAGTGACGTGGTACTAGGGTTTGAAATCTGGTGATAGCCTTCAATCTATCAATATCAGTTTCTACCAGTTGAGCTGAGATTCGGGGACTATGCTATACAAGTTAATGTGAATGTTTTAATGGCAGAGAGAGAACAATCGCAAGGGTACAACTTCAAGTTCTGAACATGAAGGACCAAAAACGCCCGATCCTAAGGTTAGTTAGTATTACTATTGATTAATATCTTAATGTTATATGTTAGTATAATTTCTTAAGGATATAATAATTAAATTTTTTGAAAATGTTATGCACAGACTCTGAGAAGACTTGCTCAGAATAGAGAGGCAGCAAGGAAAAGCAGGCTTAGGAAAAAGGTGCTATGAATTCCTCTCCAGGGATGATTGTTTTTTATCCCAAAAAACTGTTGAATTTGCTTTTATACATTTTAGGAAAAAGTACTTGTCAAAGCTCTTTTTAACTTATTCCTCTCTTTTTCTCAGGCTTATGTTCAGCAGCTAGAATCAAGTAGAATTAAGCTTAATCAGCTTGAACAAGAATTACAGCGTGCTAGAGCTCAAGTAAGAAACAAACATCAAGTTTGTGTAACGTTAAAAATGAGTATAAGATTGCGAAGACACTCTTCATAAGAAAATATAACATAAAAGTTAATGTATCTGATTCAATATTTAAATCAGATACATCAGTTTCCTATAGGATACTACTATTATTAATTTCAAAAGTCAAATGTATCTTATATAAATTTGAAATCAAATACATTTAACTTTTTAAAATAATTATTCATTATATTTCATTTTAGAGAGAGTGATATTATGTTTTCTCTCTCTTGATCCAACGGTCGGCGATCGATTTTTTAGGGCGTTTTAATGGGGGGAGGTGCAATTTTGGGAGGAGATCAAGGCATGCCAATTTCTATGAACAACATTAGCTCAGGTGACTACTACCTATACAAAATCCAACAAAATGTATGATTTTTGAGTACTTACAAATTATCGATTTTTTTAGAAGCTGCAATGTTTGATGTGGAATATGGGAGATGGTTAGAGGAGCACCTAAGGCTTGTATGTGAGCTAAGAGCAGCAGTAGATGAACACTTGCATGAAAATGAGCTTAGGTTATATGTGGAAAATAGTTTGGCTCACTATGATCAAGTACTTAACCTCAAAAACATTCTAGCTAGAACAGATGTTTTTCATCTTGTTTTCGGAATGTGGAAAACACCGGCCGAGCGTTGCTTCATGTGGATCGGCGGATTCAGACCATCTGAACTCATTAAGGTAAACAAATGTAACACCAAATATTAATTTTTTTAATAATCTTTAAAATCGTCACAAATAAAATTAAACTCTTATCGTTGAAGAGACAATTAAAAAATCAAAAATAAATGTAACACAAACTTTTATATAAAGGATTTGACCGTAGTGGATGAACAATGATTTGATGTCATCAATGAATCTGGAATTAAAGTTATATTGGAAATTTCTTTTATTGGGTATATAGAGCTAGGCTCACACCTTTCACTTCAATTAGTTATTGGAATCAGAAATGGATTAAGAAGAAAAGTGGCAAAGGTCTTTATCTCTCGTTATCTATGGGAATGAAGTGCTCTTGTTTTCATACCCACTTTTTCTCCCCTAATTCACCATAAAATTTAGTGCACAAATATTTTTCAAGTAATCTTTTGACCAAATAAAATTTGAAACAAATTTCTCTAATTTGTTTTTCATTTTATATTATTATTTTTTTTTAAAGTTAAATTATAGTTTTGACCCATTAAATGATTTTTAAATTTTATTTTGGAATTAAATTATAATTTATAAATTAAGATATTAAAATGTAACTAAAAATTATCTAAAAACTCTAAAATAATTTAAGAGATTAAAAATATAACTTAGCTTATATGTTATTAGTGAAAGTAAATTACAATTGTAATTTTTTAACCATTGAAATAATTGTAAAATGATAATCATTTCCACTTTATTTAATTAAATAATAATTAGTGAATGTAAATAATAATTTCTTAAACTATGGTAAGCTTATTATCTGTTTTTTTTTCTTGAATTAATATGTTTTAGATAATTGCAAGTCAAATTGAGCCTCTTACGGAGCATCAAATACTAGGAATATGTGGGTTGCAACAATCAACACAAGAAGCAGAAGAAGCTCTTTCTCAAGGGCTTGATGCACTCAACCAATCTCTTTCTGAGACCATAACATCAGACTCTTTGAGCCAACCGCCTAACATGGCTAACTACATGGGACAAATGGCTGTTGCCATGAACAAGCTTTCAACTCTTGAAAGTTTTGTGAGACAGGTGTGTTGTTACATATATTTTATGTCATGATTTCATGTTGAATTTGTTGTGTGCAAGAAATTTTGTGTGATCTAGTTTTGTGGTCCACATTGCTAAATTTTGCCAAAGATTTTTCATAAGTCTATAACTGATCTCATGGGGGTAAGGTAGGAGCAGGAATATGTTCTACTTCAATCATATGTGTAGGGACACCTACTCCAACCCTCACTTGAACTACTACTTGCATGCATTCCTTGCTCTCGTGAGGTTGTTACATAGAATCTACTAACATGGATTTTCAAATCTGCCTCTCTTTTAGGGTTTTGCAATGTTTAATATATATTTTTTAATTTGGTATTTGTCATTGTGACCGACTAATCTTAGAGATCAATTTCACCATTCACTAAAAGAGTCATTTAAAGGCATTGTAAAATTTCCTATGGATTGAATTATTTTTAATGTGTAATTAGAGTCCAGTTATTTAAGACTTTAAGTCTTAAAAAAAATTGAATTTTGATTATCCGAGTCTCCTTAGACTCACCTTACAACACTCACACTTCTCAAATTATGATAGATTTTCACATGTAAAGTAGACAATATCTCGTAAACACAATGGTTATCGGGTTTGAAGATAATATGGATATTGTCTTTAGAACACGGGAGATGAACCATTGACCATACTCGGTTCGAACCCTTTAGTCCCTTAATCTCGACTAAGAGGCTATTGTTTCGATCGCCTTAAAATCGCATGTTACTTATAAACCAAAACGAGAGTAATTTATATACTAACATCCACAATTATCTGATAACTATTTCAAACTAAGCTACATCTCAAAATTGACTCCAATAGTCGAGCCATATTTTTTCTTGGGGGTAGAGTCATGTAACACAATCTCCCAAAGACACATTTTTTTAGGGTTAAACACTAATTGAGAGTATATATCACAAAAAAATTGAATAAATTTAGTAGTACAATGTACTAGGAAATTAACCTAAGCAAAGGTACCATTATATGGACAGGTTGCACGGCCATTAAGATATCCTTCATGGTTGTTTGTGATTAATGTAAATCTATAAGGGTATTAACTCATCATTGATTTCATAACATTGTATACAAAGGTTACTAAATGAGTAATGTGACATTTTGAACATGAACATTTGAGACTATGGTAGATTAGCGTGGTCCCTCTTCCAAAGATACATTTTAAGACCCATATCTATGTGATGTCATGGTCATAACCGTAACTTGAAGAAAAATACAACAAAGAGTCCTCACCATAACTTGTTGCTTTTTGCATATTTCTAAGACACACACACACTACCATTGTTTTTGTTATGGTAAAAAACAGTTAATATTGAGATATTGAAATTTTTTTTAAAATATTGTCATATTTAGGATGACAAAATGGATCATATCTGCCGGATATGTTAGTCTTATCCATAATCTTTTTGAATGAGTCATAATTTTAGATCCACACTTTCTAATATACTCGTTCTATTCAGTACTATTCTATTTTTAAAAAACTTTTGTAGATGCAGAAATTAATAAGAATTTTTATAAGTTTTAGTTTTAGGGGTAAAAACCCCGCATGTCCGTCTAACTCCACTTTTATTTTTAGGCGGGATGAACTAATAATTCAGAGCCACACCTTTAATTATGTTCGTCCCATGATTGAGTTCATTTCAAACAAAAATATGTAAAATTCTTAGTTCCCAATTTTTCCACCATAGGTAAAAGAAAAATGTAGAGTTATTGACTAAATTATTAAGAAATCCTAAATTTCTTTGTGAAAATCTGGTGCTGGAAACTAGACTGGTTCACCAACTATGCTATAATTCTATTGTAAAATAATTTTTTAATTACAAGTCTAGTCTCTAAATAATATATATGAATGATCAATTCAAATTAATCAATCACAATAAGAATAAGAAACTGAGGAATCATTAGGTAAACAACATTATCATAATGATTATTTGATTTTAATTTCTCAAGCAACCTTCCTTCTTTAATTAATTTGTAAGCTTGTCTTTTATCAATTTGACCAATTTGTATAGTTTTGGTCTATATATAAGTTCAAAATTGTTATCTCCTCTTTGATATTGCACTATATTTTTCCCTGGTATTGAAAACTTCCCATTATTAAAAAATATTTACTTGAAGGAAAAATATAAAAACATGTTTAGAAATTAGACTTCCAAAAAAAAAAAATTCTCTATATTTTGTGTTTGACTTAGAAAATGCTGAAAATTGTTAATTTAAAAATTTACAGGCAGATAATCTGAGGCACCAAACAATTCATCGTCTTCATCAATTGTTAACAATTCGTCAAACTGCAAGGTGTTTGATTGCAATGTCGGAATATTTTCACCGTCTTCGAGCATTGAGTACTCTCTGGTTGACCCGCCCTCGTCAAGAATAATGCGACCGAGTGCGTTGTAGTAATAGTAATAGTGGTGTTGGATTTAATACTTACTAGCTAGATTTATAAATATATGGCCTTGTAGTTTTTATTTTATATCTTTTTTTAAAGTTTAAGCTAAATATTCTCTTAATTTACTATGATATATTATCCTATTGTTATTTTTTTGTTTATTTTTTAACTTGATTATGACCATATGCATTGTTGATAAACAAATACAATGATTTAGAAAAATAATAGAAGTAAATGGTGACAAAAATAGAAATTATTTGCAGACATTATTGACTGTTGAAAGGTGGGATATATATTAAGATTAATAAAGAATCTGATAATAAAAAATGAGAAGATTATTTTTATTTAATTGAAGATATTAAGAGAAGTTTTTGGTTTGCAAGTAAGGTCAGTGAATAAAATTACCATTGTAAAAATGAAGGTTTGGGGTGTTGAACAGAATTGTCCACGTGGTCTTGAATAGTTGATTGTATGCATAAAATTTTAAAGGTTTTTTTATATAAAAAATTAGAGAAATATATTTTTCTAGAAAATATTAGACTAGTGAAACGATAAACCCTAAAGATAAGGGCCAATTTAAGGTGACTGTTAGTTATAAATTTTGAAAATCAATTTTTTAATTTAAAAATTGTTTCTTCACTAAAACTCAATCAAATAAATAAAATAAATTTTCTTTTTAAAGTTAAGATACCACTATTGTGTTGAGATTATAATTCCTTTATGTTGAAGTAGTATGTTGTTAGACACAACAAAAGTGTGTTAATTTAGCATGTGTCAAAGTGTGTTGAATTGTTGAAAAATTGTGTGTGTGTTGAAGTGTCAAAGCAGTTTGTTTGATATAGGATTTCGAATTAGGTCTAAATAGTATTTTGAATTTTTATAATTTTGGGCTTTGCTTTGGGGAGCAAACAAGCTCATTATAAATAAAGGGAGTAACCCTTATTTTATAATCACTTATAACTTGTACTCACATAATTTTGCAGTTGCAAAGTGAATAAGATTTTTCTATAGTTTGTGGATATAGAGAAATTCTACAGAAAATCATCTTCTTCTCCTTATTTTTTCAAACCCTAATTCTTTCTTTCATTGTTATTATGTATTGATAATAATCATGTTCATTAAGATTGATAGAAATTCTCCATAAATTTTGATGATTTTTTAACATCTGGTATTAGAAGCTCCATTGCACGATTCAAGGCAAGAAAATCACGATGACAATGAATCATCCAAAAGGCATTTTTCAGCAAGTCTTTCAATTCTGAAAGTTGGTAACTATGAGAATTGGTGCAAGCGGATGAAGGTTGTGTTCTGTTGTCAAGATCTTTGGAATATTGTGAAAGAAGAATTATAACTGCTTGTAGAAGAAGCAACAAATTTAGAAGAGGCAACACACAAAGAATTGAAGAAGAAAAATTATAAAACTCTCTTTATAATTCATCAATGTCTGAGTCCAGAAATTTCGAAAAAGTGAGTGATGTAGAATCTGCAAAAGAAGCTTGGGAAATTTTGGAAAAATCTTTTGAAGGTGCAGAAAAGGTAAAAGAGGTGAGGTTACAAACTCACAAAAGAACGTATGAATTTCTTCAGATGGAAGAAAGTGAAAGTATAACTGATTTCTTCAATAGGGTTACAAAATTGGTGAATCAAATAAAGGTATTTGAAGAAGTGTTGACAACAAGATCAGTTGTTGCAAAGATCTTGAGGTCATTGACTCTAAAGATCGACCATGTGATAGCAGCCATAGAAGAGTCAAAGAATTTGTCGACATTGATAATAGAAGAGCTTCAAGGGACGCTTGAATCTCGTCAACAAAGAATAACTGAAAAAGTTGATGGCAAGCGGAAGAGTGATGTGGCTTTGCAGGCGCAGTCAGCAAGAGAAAAGAAAGGCAAAGAAAGTGGTTCGACAACAGATGTAGAGAAAACTACAACAATTCTATTTGTAGAAGAAACCAGCATGAAGGAATTGTGTCGAACCAGAGAAGGCCACAATACCAAAGTAACCAAATAGGTGGTGATGTAATAGAGGAAGAGGGGGGTAGTAGAAAATATGGAAAAAAAATCACATTCAGTGTTTGAATTGTCACAAGTATGGTCATTACTCTAGTGATTGTCCAGAAAAACAAAATAATCAAGAAAGTGATGCAACGTTTGTAAAACATGAGAAGAAGAAGAGATGATGGTGATGGTCACAACAAGAGATGAAGATAGGTTCAAGGATCAATAGTACTTGAATTCAAGATGCTCATCACACATGTCTGGCAAAAAATATTGATTTGTTAACATAAAGCCTTCAATGAAGAACATGGTGAAATTTGCAAATGACAATATCCTAGAAGTTAAAGGTATTGACGATGTTCTGATTATGAGGAAAGATGACAAAAGGTCAGTAATTTGCAATGTGTTGTACATACCAGGCATCGAGAACATTTTGCTCAGTATAGGACAGTTGGTCGAAAAGAACTACAAGGTATGATCGAAGACAAGTTGATGAAAGTTCTCTACACTAGAGGAAGGTTAATCTTGAACGCTCCAATGTCTCAGAATAGAACCTTCAATGTTGAACTTAATGTGATGGAGCACAAGAGCTTTGTGGCTGCATCTAGCAGAGATGAATGGATATGGCACTATCGACTAGGCCATTTCAACTTCAAAGACATTAGATATTTTAAAATAAGAAATATAGTTTTAGGATTAACAGAAATCGATATTCCATATGAGGTATGTGAGAAATGTATGCAGGTAAAGCAGCCCAAGAATAGCTTTAGCAAAGATGCAGGAAGTAAGTCCAAGACAATCTTTGAAGTCATATACTTTGATGTATGTAGTCTTATCTAGATGGATTTGACTAGAGGTAATAAATACTTTGTCACATTCATAGATGATTTAAATAAAAAATTATGGACTTACATGATCAAAAAGAAAAATGAAATGATCGAAATATTTGCCTTATAATTTGTTTCCTCCTAATGCTCTACCGAATACATAACAACATCCAAATCAATCACCACATTATAATATAAAAATGATTAGACCAAATATTTCTCACACACACATAGTTCTTTTTCAGCAACAACATTCTTGATAACAAACAATGCTTAATGAATGAGGCATATTCATGTTATGGTCCAATTCCCATGCTTAGTGGTTCCAGTAGCATGAAGTTTTCTTTTGAAATTTTTGGAACAAATTTCAGCTTGAAAAACTAGAAGTGCTTGTTAGACATACCATTATAATATATTTTGCAATATCTGTTAGGTTTGGTTATGATGCAGTGAACTATGAGGAGTTTTCAAGATGCTATGTCTTCGTCCTTTATGCTCAGTGGGTGCTACCTTTTCTTCTAGTTCTTCACGTGCTATGTTGTTGTTGTGTAGTGAAGTTTTGATGTTCCACATCAAAAACTATTCCCCAACTGAAAGAGTTTATATAACTCTAACGCATTACATTTCAAACAATGAAATAGTGGATGATGCTTCCAAAAATACATTAAATAATTAAAAAAGAGTTTGAAATATCTTTTTGAAATGTATCTTTAATGTTTTAATAATTAATAATTAATTTATATATAATTTAAGAAAATGTAAAAAAAAATTTAATAAAAAAGTAAAAAAATTATAATATATTAAAAAAAGTAAAAATAGAAGATTAAAAAAAATTCAAGTGGTTTAAAAAATAATTAAAAAATTAAAAAAAAAATCATGTGGACTGCAAGGGGGTGTATTGAGGGAATATGGAAATTGCGAGGGGGTTTTAAAAAAATATCTTTTGCAGAAGCCTAATGCAAAACTCGCTAATATTATAGAGGGTGTTGTATATTTAACCCTTAAATCTATGGTCGAAAGCTAAAGATTTTGAAGACCATAATGGGAAAAGTTTGGAACAAAAAGTAGAATACGAATGGAGACCTAAATACTGACACACATGTCTAAAGATAGGACATGATTGTGTTGTGCAAAAACAGGCCAAGAAACACATGGACAAAGTGTGGAAACCAGTAATGCAAAAGGAAATAGAACAAAACAGTGAGTAATATAGCTACCTTGAGAAGATTTCTGAACCCATAGTTAATACATTTGATATAAATGAAGGCCCAAGTGACGTGTCATAGACAGTTATATCACCGGCCAAAAGCGATAGAGGCAAACAACATGTTCATACTATTTTGAAAAGTACCGCAAACAAGAGATTCCAAAATAGCTTCTCACCTCTTAGGATTGGGGATCTTCCTATAGAGGAGATCCACAATGTCCCATGATAGTCACGTCATCAGCTTGAGGAAAACATGTTAATGCAAAAATCAAAAGAGACTTGGCTCAAGCTCGGTGACGGTAATAACGCTTTTTCCATGCATATGTTCGAGATAGAAATAAGAACAAAGGTCTACACACTTTGAATTCTTTGAAAGGTGGGATGTCGTGTATTCAAGGAGATATATAACTTGAAATTATGGAGTTTTATAATTCTTTGGTGGGCACAAACGCTACAGAATTGGGAAGTATTGATCTGCCAGCTATCTATAATGGTATGATGCTCTTTCCCACTGCAGCTCATCGTATCATTCATCCTATTGAAGACAAAGAAATCTAGACAACTTTGAATTCTGTAGGAGATACTAAGGCTCCTGGAATAGATGGTTTTAATTATTTTTTTCTTTAAATCTACTTGGGACATTGTTAAGAAGGATGTTAAGGAAGAAATCTTGGAATTCTTTGATACTGGAAAAATGCTTTTGGCGGTGAATTGCTCTCTTGTTACATTAACTCTGAAGACACCGGAGGCGAATACTATTAAAGACATGCATCTTATTGCTTAATGTAATCCAATATATAAAATCATAACTAAAATTCTTACTGCGAGATTGGGTGAGGTGATTAATTTTGTGGTCGATGAAAACCAATCAGCTTTTATTCCCGACTGAGTTGTTCATGAAAACATGATGATGGCTCAAGATTTGATCATGGGTTACAATAGAAATAACATTTATGC